AGCCTGAGGCAACCTGAGCTAATGCTCTTTTCTGGGTCTGCCTCTAAACCATGGACCCAGCCTTCTCTGGCACCAGGTTGCACTCTGCCCGAGGGCTCCAGGGTCAGGCTTTGAGAGATGAGGATGGAAAGGGAGCCTGGGGGCCTCTGAGAACCTCTATGAGCTATAGGCCAGGTGGTCCTGGGCTGCCTATTTTGCTGAAAAGTGGGGACTGCTCCCTTAGACTTGGGGCTCCTGAGTTTCCTGGGGTAGCTCTTCACCTCCTCCTCATTCTTGTCAGATCCTGGAAGCCCATACCAAAGACTGAATTGCAAACTGATGGCCAAACACTCGGAACTAAAGGCACTCCTAAAATTTCTCCATCCCCTCATTTCTCAATTTCCCTCTCTTCATTCTATTTTCTTCCCAGACCCAGACACCCTAATGCAAGACTCCCACCCCAACCCTTAGGTCCCCATGCAACTTCTTTGCCATTAAGCCCTTGATTCAGCCATGTGTTCATGAATGTCTGATTTCTGGTACTTTGGAGAATTTCCCTTTCCAAAGTACCAGAAGGGCTGAGGAGCTTTGCCTTTGGTAAAGACCTCTCTAGGTTGTTGTTTTTTGAAGGGTTTGAGTCTTTTCTTGCTTGGTGAATGATATTGGATAAGTTGTATAAACTCTCTACCTCCGTTTCCCTGTATGTGATACAGATGTTAACACTCTTACTCTGGGTTTTTTTTTTTTTTTTGAGACGGAGCCTCAAGCTATCCCCCTGGGTAGAGTGCCATGGCTTCACTGCTCACAGCAACCTCCAACTCCTGGGCTCAAGTGAGTCTCCTGCCTCTGCCTCCCAAGTAGCTGGGACCACAGGCGCCTGCCACAATGCCCGGCTATTTTTTGGTTGCAGCCATCATTGTTGTTTGGCGGGCCCGGGCTAGATTCAAACCCGCCACCTTAGGTGTATGTGACTGGCGCCTTAGCCGCTTGAGCCACAGGTGCCGAGCCTCTTACTCTGGTTTTAAGGTCACAGTTAAAATCTTAGATAGTGACTGTATCTAGATCCACACATCCTGGGTATTCTGGGATAAGCCTGAATTCAAATACTTTGTTGCCATCATCAGATTTTGTGCCTGATCCTGTAATCTGATTTGAGAGAAGAAAATATGTCTTGAGAGCACTTTGAATTCTTCATTCCAGCTGGAATTTTGTCTGCTAGTATGCAAATATAAACTATTCAGGTTCTGGGGACTGGACAGAATATGTAATTCAGAATATGACAGTGTTGCTGGAGCCCTTCCTAGGGAGGCCCTCTGTCCCCATGTCTCACCCACCCTGGGTACTGGACCGGAAAGGGGCTTACTCACCTGTACAGAATGTCCACAGCACAGGCCACATCTTCTCCACCATGATCTTGCTTCTCCTCGGCCTCAAACCCAGCCTAGCACCAGCATACACCAAACAGGTCTGGGCTGACGGGTTAAAGCCACAGTAGCCTCTAGCCTTGCCAAACCTGAGATCTCCACAGTTCTTCCTCTTCGCACTCACCTCTGCCCAGCCTGGCCCATATGCCCTGCCCCTCAGCTGGACTGGCAGGTGAGCTTACCTGTGGGATGGCCTCTCACTCCACCTACTCCACGAAGGTCCTGAAGGGAGCCTGCCCTACTTCCCCCCTGAACCAGAAACCTCTCCTGCCTCTCCCCACCTAGCAGAGGTACAAAGTCCTGAGCTTCTCACAAAGGTGTGGTCCTCTCTTCTAACTGACAGGAAATTGTCACCCCATAATAAAAAGGGAAAAGCTTTCAGCGGTGGGGGTTCCAAGCTAGTAAAAGAAGGGTGTGGCCCACCTTTAGCGAAACACTTTTAAGACACAATACGTTCTGTTTCTCTACTTCTCTTCTCTTCTGCAGTGCCCACCCAACTGCACACTAGAGATAACCGTCATGAATAAGATGGGAAGTCCCTACTCTCAGAGTTTACAATCTGGCTGGGAAGGTGTAGCAAGGTCACAAGGAAATGAAGATCATCTTAGAGATAGTGTGGCCAACTTGTCTCTGCTCTGGGGTTGTCTCAGTTTCAAACCACAAGGACCTCCCCTCAGGCCCAAGCAGACAGAGACGCTGGTCACCCTACCTAAAGAAGATACTTCAGAGAACACAATTCTCCAGGAGCAGCCCCTGTGAATTGTTTCGTCCATAGATATTCCGTGTACGTGATAAAATATGCACAAATGAGAGTGTATGCCGTGCACGCTGTTCTGCAGTGACATTTGGCATGGACTTTTATTTTTCACTCAAAGTATCTTGAAGAATTTTCCGTAACAGTACACACAGCACCACCACCATCTATTAAATGGATAATAATATGTGAGTGACATAATTTGTTTAACCAAACTCTACTTTTATGATGTTTTGCCTCATCTTTGGCAATTATGCAAAGAGTTGCAAACAGTATTTATTACTCATATTTTATTTCACACATGTTGCCATCCTAACATGGAGGGTAAATTCTTTCTGAAATGGCTCGGTCAGAGGAGAGGGATATTTATCATTTTTATAGATTTTGCCAAACTGCCCTCCATAAGGACTTTACCAGCCTGCACTCTTATCAGCAGCATATGAGAATGCTTATCTCCCTACAAATACACTGATACATTTATCAAACATTGGTAACACAATTATCAAACTTTTTGCTTTTTGCCAATCCTAGTGAAAATGATAGCCCACATGTATATAATTTACTTTAAAAAATTATCAATTACATTGAACACTTTTTACATAGTTATACATTACTTATATTTCTTTTTTTGAGATTAGTTGTTCATTTGCCCATATTTTTATTGAGCTGCGGGTCTTATCTTGTTGATTTCTAACAGCTCTTTTTATATTAGGAAAACTAACTTTCAGATATGATAAGTATTGCAGATAATTTCCTCACTGTTTCCTCATACTGTGGATTCAGAATTTCTTACATAAATAATCTTATCAACTTTTGACTGACATAAGAAAGTTTCTGTTTTCTGTTTATTACATTTTACTTGGATACCTTACTGAATTCTCTTATTAGATCTAATAATTTTCCAGCCCAGCCCAGTTTTATACTATTGCCAAATTAGTCTTTCTAACACACAGTCCTGATGATGCCATTTGTCTGCTCAGGTCCCATCAATGACTCTGCAGAACCTAACAGATGAAATCTAGCTCCTTAAATTGATCTGTAAGGTATTCTACCATCTGTTCTCAAACTCAGCCTACCTTCCCAAAATTGTCTTTCAGAATGTGTTACTTATGCTCTGACCAGAACTCATATTTTCCTATCCCCAAACTTTTCCATGCCATGCCCTCTGTAATTCCTTTCCCCTGCTACATGTGCTATTAGGATCTACCACGTCCTCTAAAAGCCTGCTCAAATATCACCATTTCTTTCATGAAGGCTTTCCCTCTGCCTCCTTTGAACTCACACTGCACTCTGGTTCTCTTTTAGGACACTAACTACATTCTGTCTTATGCTCGAGTTATTTTGGGTCTGTGTCTCATTCCTCCTAATAAACTGTGAGTTCATTCATTCAGCCAGTTTCTAATGATACTATGTGCCAGGCATTGTTCCACCCAGCCAGGAAGAAGGCTGACTTTAAGCTATATGCCTTACAAGCTTTGGTCAGGTACAATGCCTGTGGCAAACTAAATAATCAGGAAATATGTGTAGTTTGCTATAAATGGATGTATGGATAACTGGGTGAAGGAGTGATTATAGAATGTGCAGCATAAGAGGTGTAGTCCATTGGGTTGTTGGGCCTACTTGAGCACAGAGATGGTGGTGGGGGTATAATAGAGTAGGGTGGGTTGTGAGCTCACTTAAAATTTATGAAGTTCACAACATTCTTATATCACCCAAGGTTGCCAATTGACCATCATCATGGGGTATTAGTGTTGGCGAGGAAATGTGGGGTGAGCAGAACTGCCCAGAACTGTCCAGAGACACTATTAAATTAAATATTCCTATATCGTACTGGTCACCAGCAATGACCACCCTAATCGTACATGGTTCTCTCCCAAGACCCATCTCCCATTCTATAAATCAGCTATTTTTTTCTAGGCCTCTCTAAGGGGACATGAGGCTGAGATAAGTTTGTTTATTCTTCTAGACCCTCAGATTTAGATTGTCTTCTGAAAGGAGTTTGAAGGCTGCCCAGGCAGCAGGGTATGGAGAGGAAGCCCACAGAAAGCCTTTTTTTTAGGCCTCTCCACTACAAAGCTGAACCTCCTCTAATCCTGCTGCTCCAGGTCCTTTTCGGGACAATCAGCCAGAAGGGAAAGAGTTAAGTGAGGCCTGCTTCAGCCTGGGTCCTGAGCCCCGCATTCCTTTCTCTCAGAGATCTGCCAGCCAGTGGGGCCAGAGACTAAATTTAGAGGATGGCTAAGGTTTCCTGTTAACAGCTGTCCTACCCCTCAGAGAAGAAGCACTTGAGAGAGGAGGTTGGTCCTTCTCTCCCAGCCTGGAGCTTTTGGCCATTTCGTCTGGGTCTCTCAGCACTTGGTGTGGACACACGGGCAGGTCCAAGGTGAGTGTGCTTCTTCCCTCACCTGTCCTGGTGAGCCTGGGAATGATAGTCACAGGGAGCAGTGGCTCTGGCCTAAGTGCCAGGGCCCTGCCATAATGTGTGAGACCAGCTGCTGGGGGATTTCATGTCCCTTAATAGACTGTGGCTCAGTGCCTGAGCCAAAGGCCCCGACTCCTGTGGCCTTGGTTAGAGGAGCTGAGGAAGGCAGCTGCGCCTCCCCCAGCAGAGACAAAGGGGTACGTGTGAGAGCAGGGTGTGTGTGTGCTGCTTGGTGTCCTGTTAACAGTAGCTGGGCCAGCTGGGTTTTCCTTGGGCATTGGCATCTGGTGACCTTCCCATTCCTAGTTCCACTGAGAGACATCACTGACAATGTCCCACCACCACCACCAAAAACCCTCTCTAGAACCTGATTCTTTAACTGCCTTTTTCTTACCAAACTTATAGAGGCTGGCAAGGTGTCATGGCGACCGGTGGAGACCCAGAGGAGGAGCAGGTAGTCCCAGGGGAGGAGGATGAAGCCAACATCAGGGCTGTGCAGGCCCACTACCTCCGGAGCCCTTCCCCCAGCCAGTAAGTGGGAGCCAATCTCCACACCCCTGCAGCCAGGGTGGGGCAAGGGCTGGGAGCAGGATAAGCCACAAGCCCTGGGGCTCCGCAGCCACCACCTAAGTCCACTCAACAAATGTAACTGAGTGCTTTTATGTGTCATACTTTCTGGAAGTGGCGAACATGTGCACAGACTATGATGTGCCATGGTGAGGGCTAGAGATTAGCATGTCTAGGGTCCTGTGTGTGGTGGGCCAGGGAAAGGAACAACTGGACTTGGAAGGGTCATAGGAGGCTTCCTGGAGGAGGTGTTGCTGGAGCTGAACCTCGAGGGATGAGGAGGAGTTTGGCAGATGGCACCTGAAGGGTAGTGCTTAATTTACCAGGGTTGGGACTGGATATGGGGACCATAGGGTACAGATGACAGTAGAAGGGATGGGAAGAGGAAGAGGCTCATAGAATAGTTCCTAGTACTAAAATAATTTTTTATCCCTGATCAAGCTGTGTCTTTCAAACTGGGAGAGATGTGCATGCCTGGGGCAAGTGTCAGGGTGCCGAGAGATGGGTAAACATGATACCTCTTCCTGGGTAGACCTTTCATTGTATGACAAGTAATTTAAAACTTTCCTTCTTCGGCTCGGCGCCTATAGCTCAACCGGCTAAGGCGCCAGCCACGTACACCTAAGGTGGCGGGTTCGAATCCCCAGCCCGG